TTCCGTAAGGTTTCACAACCTCACATTGTCCCTCCCGAAGGTGTTTGAGTGTTCCCCGGGCCGTCTGCCGTGGCTTGTAGCATGGATTTTCGGCCCCCAGTGCCCTATTTGAAACTTAGTGTGAAAAAGTACATTTTTTGATTTGAGTTGTTTCAAAACCGGCGATCCCGTGCTAGTTTCCGTTAGTTTCCACAACTCACATTGGTCCCTTCCGAGGTGTTGATGTGTTTCCAGTCGTCTCGTGGCTGTTGCACGATTTTGGCTTGCCCGCATGGCCTATTTAAAGCTTTGAGTATGAAAAACAGTATTTTTGGGACTTTATCTCAAAACTGGAGGTTCCGTGCTAGGTTTCCGGTAGTTTCACAACTCACATTGGTCCCTCCTCGAGTGTTTATGTGTTCCCGGGCCCGTCTCGTGGCCGTTGCAATTTCGGCCTCCGGATGGCCATTTTGGAATACTAGTGTGAAAAAAGGTACATTTTTGACACTTCTTCATATACTGGAGTCCCATTGCTAGTTCCGTAATTTTCCCACACTCATTGGCCCTCGGGAGTCGTGTTGACTGTGTTTCGCTGGGTCCGTCTCGTGGCTGTTGCCACGATTTTGGCTCCGATGACCTATTTGGTACTTGTCTTCGACGCTACGGCACTGTTAAACTAGTGGATTTGGTTTAGGCTTTGAACGGATGATTCTCTTTGCCACGGGGCTTGACAACATTAGAGATGTCATTCCCTTTCCTAGATACCCGGGAAGAGCAGATCTGTGATTTATACTTGGTAATGCGGATGCCAAGAAGCTTTTCTGTATACCCAATACTTTGTTTACTGTTGTCATCCTAAACAGAATTAAATACAGAAACTGTGATAGTGAATTTGTATCAGCCATATGAGTTGGTTTTGATGATGGATTGAGTTGGCAGGATGTGCATTCAGAATAAACGCACAATTACCTTCTCTCTTTTTTATTTTTGAACATATTAACACACCAATTATCAAGGATGGTGAAATGTAATTGGTTTCACATTTGGCTGTTCTAGGAATTGTTGTATAGATTTTCAATTAACCTGATATGTAATAGAAGATTATGAGGAAGTTACCAATTGAAGTTAAGAGTACAAATGTAATCAAATGTGTAGAGGGCCATTATGCTTGACTTTCTTCTCTCATTCTAGATTTCTTCAGTCTCTCGTTCTTCATATTTCAGATGTCTAGAGATTTGGAAACTTGTTTAACCATCTTGGCTAAATATGTATCTTAGGTAAATGATAAATGAAATTATCATGGTGATGAGGGTGGTCGCCTTAATTCTAAAATTAGGACTCTGCTTGAAAAACCATCGAGTTTGACCCTTTTAAAGGGAGTTTCACTTTCTTTTCCCTCTTACTTTGCTTCCAATTTAATATATATATATATATATATATATATATTTTCTCCTTTGAATTTTACAATTGGTAGGAAAAAAATATAAAAACGATCATTAATCTCTATCAAAAGATAATTTTAAACAGCCATTAAAAACAACTGTCGGAAGACAATTTTGGAAGAGAAACAAGTTCATGAACCTTCTCAAATCAAGTATCTCGAGTACTTTCCTTTGTTTTACAAGCAAGCATTATTACCATGGGAAAGATTATATATGCATCTTTTAACTATAGAATAAAATGACATAATTTATTACTTTTTGAATCATAATTAAAAATAATTTAAAAAATCATAACCAAACACAAAAAATCATAATTAAAATTTCAAAATAATATCATAATTAAAGAAAAAAAATAATCATAATTATAAATAATAATAATAATAAATAAATAAATAAATAAACGACATAACTAAAAGTGTTTGTGATGTGATATGAGGGTGTCCATAATAGAAGGGAAGTGATTCATCCCCCGAAAGGGGACCCCCGAATCCCCCGAAAATGCCACTTTAGGTAAAAAAATAAAAAAAAAAAAAAAGGAAAAAAAGAAAAGAAAAAGAAAACAGTTTCCAGAAAAGGAAATTAGGGGGATTAGGGGGAGAGATTTTAAGACTCTAAATCATTTTCCATAATAGAATTCTCCTATTATCATAGACATCTCTAGAAAGCTTCTTACAACAAAAATAGGATTAAACAAAACGATGGGGAGAACTCATGATAGAATACTCTGAAGCATGATCAGGATTTATATATTCATGTTTTGAGATGAATTAGGCTCTACTAATAAACCGCTGCACTAACAGATAGATTGGGGTTTTTCTCGAAATAAATTATGACTTTTCTCACATATCCTAAATAGCTTGCTAGGTACTGTTTCCTCGGTATTTTTGGGTGTAATAACAGTAACTAGTTTTTGAAAGTAATAACAGTAACTAGTTTTTGAAACCAGTAAACCAGTTTGCAAGGAAGAAAAAAGATGTATTGAGAATGTAACCAGAGGCATGACAAATTTGAAGCACTAACATAATTGTCTTAATACAACCCAAACAAAAGTCTATGGTCTAATCAGTAAGGACCAAAATACCAGGAAAACTTAAACCAGTATCTTTAACACTCAACACTAGCCAAAAACTCTCATATATCAACTCCTTGCTGCAAATGGCAGGAAGGTATGACAATCAATCATCATCTTCTTCAATGACCTTGGTACCCATCCCTTTTAGCCCTTCCGGTGGAATTTCAGCAACTGTAACAAGAGAGTAAAGCTCTTCCTTTGCATCTTCATCATCATTTCTCTTGCGAGCAATACGAACTCTAATCCGCCTTGGGACACTTCGAATCCCCCTGCTCCAGATGTGCTTGTTTAGCTTCACATCCACCCTCACATCCTTGGTTCCCATGGCTTTCTGCGCAAATTTCCTGATCTCCTTTATGGCATTAGGAGCCTTCTTCTTGAATGTGCTGTTATTTGCAGTCACAGTACAGCAAAACAGAGTCACATCCTTTCGCATGATATCACAGAACAATACAGTTAAATCATTTATACATGATCAATCCTCTTTTATGTACTTTATAAAAAGGTGTAAATACAGATGAGAGGATTTTTTTTTTTTTTGTGTGGAAAGTACATATAATAGTATTTTTGTTCTAATCACAATAACTAGTGAACCATTGCACAATTTACAACGATATGCACCCCACAATTGACAATAACATAGGTCAAACACTGATACAGCGCCTCAGAACTTCTTATTAACCCAATAATGATCAATTCACATGCACTAACAACAAACTCCAGCACATTCTTAAAAGCAAGGATGAATCTTTTAAAGGCTAAGACAGGATAGATACATTTAGGAACAAATATGAACAGTAAAACTATATGAATTTCACTTGCATTACTTCATTCATTGCACCAATCCCGCATTCTAGACATGTTCTCAACTACGACTGCTACACGGAACTAAAACACGCAGCAAAAGTACATAATAACCAAAAATAACATTTTCACCAATAAATTAAATAAAAGATTTGAAAAATCATTCAGTTGAACAACGGGGATAAGGCAGTATACATCAAATAACCTCTTTGAAGACCCTTAAGGCAATGAAATGAGAAGAACCCAGATTCAAACTTCAAGTCGATAAAATATCGCACAAAGAAAACAACATTAATTGCTCAACCTAAGAAGATGAAAAACCAACTCATTCAATAGCCAAGACCAAGATTTTCTAGCTCAAATTAAATGAATCCTTGAAATCCATTCTAGTGTAAGTAATCTACCTCTTTTTCCATTAATTCTGAGTAATGATCTCAAAAAACAGTAAGAAATCAGCCAAACATATATATACATATATATATATGTGCTATATAGAGCTAGAAATTATAAGCAAACACTAACCATTCAAGCATAACAGAATGTGTAGATTATTCGGATGATTAAATTGAATATCAGCAATAATGGTTAAAAAGCAAGCACAGAAAATCATATAGATATATGAATATATGTATACGTAAAGATGTGAAGGAGCAGAGGTTTGATTGTACCAACCGTGCAAGCGCTTGTGGAGCAGAGGTTGATGGTGTAATTTTATGGGCAAGAGTTCAACAATAAGCATTTTATGAAACTTTATTTTCTTCAACGGGGGTCTCCTCTACACTTCACAAGTACCTCCATCTCTCGGTTCACAGTCTACATATTTCTCCTCTACATAAATATATGTAGATAATACAATGAGAGTCAAAGCTAAAAATAAATGAATAAATAAATAAAACAAAGCAAGTTTCGTTTTCTAAAACAGTAACTAAAAATTAAATATGTAAGAAAAATTAGGAACCATGCAACCTCAAAAGACTATTCAATTTGTGACAAAAAGGAAACAAAGAAATTAGTTGAAACAAGAGCCCTTATTATATGATTTTATATCTCAAAAAAGCGGCGAGAGATTGAGAAATAAAATCATATGAAAATATGTGACTGGGAAAAAAATCTCAATCATAATAATAATGAAAGGTACAAAAATCTCACCTTCACCAAATCACTCGAAACCCAAATAAATAAACAAAGCTCAAATTCAAAGTGGACCCACCAAACCAAATCAATTGATTCATGCAATACAAGTGTGTTTTGAGGTATTTTGTGTAGGGCTGATGATGAAGATGGGCTTAATTCTATTGGTAATTGTTAGTGTAGCATTATGTTAGTGTATCATTATGTTAGTGTAGTGCATTATGTTAGTGCATCATTATCTTTGTGTAGTGTAGCATTATGTTAGTGTATCATTATGTTAGTGTAGTGCATTATGTTAGTGCATCATTATCTTTGTGTAGTGTAGCATTATGTTAGTGTATCATTATGTTAGTGTAGTGCATTATGTTAGTGCATCATTATCTTTGTGTAGTGTAGCATTATGTTAGTGTATCATTATGTTAGTGTAGTGCATTATGTTAGTGCATCATTATCTTTGTGTAGTGTAGCATTATGTTAGTGTATCATTATGTTAGTGTAGTGCATTATGTTAGTGCATCATTATCTTTGTGTAGTGTAGCATTATGTTAGTGTATCATTATGTTAGTGTAGTGCATTATGTTAGTGCATCATTATCTTTGTGTAGTGTAGCATTATGTTAGTGTATCATTATGTTAGTGTAGTGCATTATGTTAGTGCATCATTATCTTTGTGTAGTGTAGCATTATGTTAGTGTATCATTATGTTAGTGTAGTGCATTATGTTAGTGCATCATTATCTTTGTGTAGTGTAGCATTATGTTAGTGTATCATTATGTTAGTGTAGTGCATTATGTTAGTGCATCATTATCTTTGTGTAGTGTAGCATTATGTTAGTGTATCATTATGTTAGTGTAGTGCATTATGTTAGTGCATCATTATCTTTGTGTAGTGTAGCATTATGTTAGTGTATCATTATGTTAGTGTAGTGCATTATGTTAGTGCATCATTATCTTTGTGTAGTGTAGCATTATGTTAGTGTATCATTATGTTAGTGTAGTGCATTATGTTAGTGCATCATTATCTTTGTGTAGTGTAGCATTATGTTAGTGTATCATTATGTTAGTGTAGTGCATTATGTTAGTGCATCATTATCTTTGTGTAGTGTAGCATTATGTTAGTGTATCATTATGTTAGTGTAGTGCATTATGTTAGTGCATCATTATCTTTGTGTAGTGTAGCATTATGTTAGTGTATCATTATGTTAGTGTAGTGCATTATGTTAGTGCATCATTATCTTTGTGTAGTGTAGCATTATGTTAGTGTATCATTATGTTAGTGTAGTGCATTATGTTAGTGCATCATTATCTTTGTGTAGTGTAGCATTATGTTAGTGTATCATTATGTTAGTGTAGTGCATTATGTTAGTGCATCATTATCTTTGTGTAGTGTAGCATTATGTTAGTGTATCATTATGTTAGTGTAGTGCATTATGTTAGTGCATCATTATCTTTGTGTAGTGTAGCATTATGTTAGTGTATCATTATGTTAGTGTAGTGCATTATGTTAGTGCATCATTATCTTTGTGTAGTGTAGCATTATGTTAGTGTATCATTATGTTAGTGTAGTGCATTATGTTAGTGCATCATTATCTTTGTGTAGTGTAGCATTATGTTAGTGTATCATTATGTTAGTGTAGTGCATTATGTTAGTGCATCATTATCTTTGTGTAGTGTAGCATTATGTTAGTGTATCATTATGTTAGTGTAGTGCATTATGTTAGTGCATCATTATCTTTGTGTAGTGTAGCATTATGTTAGTGTATCATTATGTTAGTGTAGTGCATTATGTTAGTGCATCATTATCTTTGTGTAGTGTAGCATTATGTTAGTGTATCATTATGTTAGTGTAGTGCATTATGTTAGTGCATCATTATCTTTGTGTAGTGTAGCATTATGTTAGTGTATCATTATGTTAGTGTAGTGCATTATGTTAGTGCATCATTATCTTTGTGTAGTGTAGCATTATGTTAGTGTATCATTATGTTAGTGTAGTGCATTATGTTAGTGCATCATTATCTTTGTGTAGTGTAGCATTATGTTAGTGTATCATTATGTTAGTGTAGTGCATTATGTTAGTGCATCATTATCTTTGTGTAGTGTAGCATTATGTTAGTGTATCATTATGTTAGTGTAGTGCATTATGTTAGTGCATCATTATCTTTGTGTAGTGTAGCATTATGTTAGTGTATCATTATGTTAGTGTAGTGCATTATGTTAGTGCATCATTATCTTTGTGTAGTGTAGCATTATGTTAGTGTATCATTATGTTAGTGTAGTGCATTATGTTAGTGCATCATTATCTTTGTGTAGTGTAGCATTATGTTAGTGTATCATTATGTTAGTGTAGTGCATTATGTTAGTGCATCATTATCTTTGTGTAGTGTAGCATTATGTTAGTGTATCATTATGTTAGTGTAGTGCATTATGTTAGTGCATCATTATCTTTGTGTAGTGTAGCATTATGTTAGTGTATCATTATGTTAGTGTAGTGCATTATGTTAGTGCATCATTATCTTTGTGTAGTGTAGCATTATGTTAGTGTATCATTATGTTAGTGTAGTGCATTATGTTAGTGCATCATTATCTTTGTGTAGTGTAGCATTATGTTAGTGTATCATTATGTTAGTGTAGTGCATTATGTTAGTGCATCATTATCTTTGTGTAGTGTAGCATTATGTTAGTGTATCATTATGTTAGTGTAGTGCATTATGTTAGTGCATCATTATCTTTGTGTAGTGTAGCATTATGTTAGTGTATCATTATGTTAGTGTAGTGCATTATGTTAGTGCATCATTATCTTTGTGTAGTGTAGCATTATGTTAGTGTATCATTATGTTAGTGTAGTGCATTATGTTAGTGCATCATTATCTTTGTGTAGTGTAGCATTATGTTAGTGTATCATTATGTTAGTGTAGTGCATTATGTTAGTGCATCATTATCTTTGTGTAGTGTAGCATTATGTTAGTGTATCATTATGTTAGTGTAGTGCATTATGTTAGTGCATCATTATCTTTGTGTAGTGTAGCATTATGTTAGTGTATCATTATGTTAGTGTAGTGCATTATGTTAGTGCATCATTATCTTTGTGTAGTGTAGCATTATGTTAGTGTATCATTATGTTAGTGTAGTGCATTATGTTAGTGCATCATTATCTTTGTGTAGTGTAGCATTATGTTAGTGTATCATTATGTTAGTGTAGTGCATTATGTTAGTGCATCATTATCTTTGTGTAGTGTAGCATTATGTTAGTGTATCATTATGTTAGTGTAGTGCATTATGTTAGTGCATCATTATCTTTGTGTAGTGTAGCATTATGTTAGTGTATCATTATGTTAGTGTAGTGCATTATGTTAGTGCATCATTATCTTTGTGTAGTGTAGCATTATGTTAGTGTATCATTATGTTAGTGTAGTGCATTATGTTAGTGCATCATTATCTTTGTGTAGTGTAGCATTATGTTAGTGTATCATTATGTTAGTGTAGTGCATTATGTTAGTGCATCATTATCTTTGTGTAGT